AACATACCCAATGTTAACTTTACATTCCAAAGATAAAGTTTTTCTTTTCTTGTTTGATGCAGAAGAATTAGTTTTACTTCGTTTGGATTACATAGTAGAGTCTCTCGAGTCTCCGTAGATATAACAAACACAGAAATAAATAACACAAAATAAATTGTAGCTATGTGTGGATTCCGCGCGACACATCCGAACATGTAAGCTGAACAATAGTGTGGGGGGGAGTGAGTAATCAAGGGTTGCGTGGCGCTCAAACAAAAGACGAATCGACGAGATTTGAAAATCGCGTAACTCCGGGTTCGCGTAAGTCGGGGTATTACTGTATATATTTAAATTTAGAACTTTTAAAAATGTAAAAATAACTGTTAAAAGATTGCAAAATAGGCCGGTTAAGGTGGCAGCCTACCGCTCTGAGTGACCGAGATCGAATCCGGGAGGGTTGAATAATCCCTAGGAATTTTTCGGAGGTGGTCCGTTCGGATATGTCAGGCTCCGTCCTTCATCACCCGGTCGCCCCATTGTGGGCTTGGCCGAATCCATAATTGCAAAAATATACCCTCTTAGTGCCCACAAGACGGAAAGAGATTAAAAAAAAAAAAAAATGTTGCAAAATTTATATTTTCTAGTGTTTTTCATAATTGTGATATTAAATCAAATACATTTTGTTTTACTTTTCATATAAGTCAACGTTAATTAACGAATATTTAATATGAAAAATCATCGAATAATTATATTTTTCTTAAGAATTATCATTTCTTATGACTAATGAAATGTATGAATATAAAAAACACTAGCCCAACAGAGACCGAGTGGATAAGACCACTGCATATTGGTCGTGGGCTGGCCACGTAAAATTCCTCGGGTTTTCTTCATATCTGTAGCACGTAAATACGGGCAATTTTCCCTTAGAATGTCTTTCTGGGAGGGATCTTCCCTGGGAAGATCGCTCACTTGTCGAGTTGGCATATACAAATAAACCAACCAAACGAAATAAAAACACTAAGATTTTTTCAAATTGTTTATTTATAAACATTTTTTTACAACTAAAACAATTTTAAACAGGTTCTTGTTTAGAGATTCCATTTCGTCAAGCAATTACTCGAACTTTCAGCAATTACTATCGTTAATAAAACCGCTCAAATCCCTTCCCTTACAGTGAGCTTTCCAGGAGTTCCTGTATTAAACGATTAAAACCTCTAATTAGAATATAAATTGAAAATCATATATAAAGAATCTATAAAATATAATATATAAAGAATATATAAAATCAATAAACTAACCAAGCCTCAAAGCCATGTCTGGCATAGATTTTTTTGGCGCATCTGATGTCATCGTCTAAATTATCGTCGATCAGAGCTGAAAATATAAATTTTAAATCATTAAATTATCAAAAATATTTATAATGTATATACAGGCAAACCTGTGAACAACGACCTTTGATGAAAAGATAATAATAATATTTATTTTGTGTACATTTTAAAAAGAAACATTTCTAAACGACGGCCATTTTTAAAGGCCATTGTTAGGAGATGGTTGTTATTCAGATTTAATATATTAGTGTGGTCCTTAATTTTAAGTATATCAATAAAATATAAATAACATATTTCGCGAATCTAAATTTAGAATATCTTATAACATTTCAGTATATTAATAATGAATACATTTAGAAATATTGCTAGATATATTTCATACCTTTGCATGACATGCCGCAATCATTGTGTGGACCAGGAGGAGAGCACCAATATCGGCTACTGATCTAAAATAAGTTTACATTTTAATTTGCTGATTTAAATTATTTATTTCCGTTGAATAAATACGGTCTACTTACTTGAAATATTCCATATTCGCGATGGCCATTATAAATGGGACTCTGGAACGAACTGTCTAATCTACTTTGGTGGTACGCTATGCAAACCCCTAAAAATATTCAAAAATAGTAATTAAAATGACAAATATATACAAATATACTTAAATTGTATTAAATCAGAGCTTCACTCGTAAATAGCCAGATGGTCGAGCGGCTAAGGAGGTAGAATACCACTCTGATGGATCCGGACAGATCGGAAAAATCGTAGAAATTTTTTGGAGATGATCCGTCCGGATAAATTGGACTCCGTCCATTATGGGCCTGACCGAACCTTTAAATTAATGGGCTCGCTAAAAAAAGGACCCTCTTAGTGTCCGCAAGGCGGAGAGAGTTAATATAAAAAAAACTTTACTCACACGTTGGAACGTAACTGTATGGAATTCCATTTCTGACAAGATGTTTTGCGAGTTCGCAACGTCCAAATTTCTTCCCTTCCAAATTGCCTGTTAGAAGAAGACATAATGTTAAGAGGAATATAGACTTGACAGCCATTCTGTATTTGATCTTAACTATTCTATCAATATACATCCTGTAGAGAGGAGCTGCTCTTTATAAGCATAATGTTTGATTCTCTTTATCAGCACTCGAAAGATACTAATAAAATTTTGATTTCGACATATTAAAGATAACTTTTATTTTTTATCTAAATATTTTAAATATCATAAACAGCATTGTAATATTGTAACAACGTAGAATGAAGCTTGCACTATAATTTATTTTAATTGTGCCAAATGGAAACGATTGTTACACGAAACGAACTGCAACAAGTAAAACTTTTCTAATTATATGGATATTACAAAAATCTCACGAAAAACGTGGTTTTATTAGATATTTTTCATACAAATACCGGATATACACGAACAGTTATTGATAAAGCACGATTACAAAGATACCCATAAGTAAATGTGGATGAAAAAGCAAAATCATGCGATTTAATTAAATGTTTTTGTGAATTTCTCTTTTAATTATTATAATTTTAAAAATTACATTGAAATTGTATCGTTTTATAAAAGCGTGGGATGAAAAATATGATTTGAAGTGTTCCAAAAGTACCTGAAAGTATGAATAATTGATGAGAATCATAACATCAAAACGAATCATAGCAATGTTATATAAGATTCTACCATAGTAAGGTTTTTTATTCCCGTCTTACACTAGTAATTATATTCTTTATTTATCTTTAATAATTAAGTTAATAATTATTGTATTTAAAATCTTTTATGGGAGAACATAAAGACTTGTCTGCTTTCTTAATGGTCTAAATTCCATTCTCGAGTGAAACGTATTCTATCTTTATTCTTCATCCCTCTTAGTAATTTCGGATTAAATAGTAATTAAAGAGTTGACATATATATTGAAATTTATTAAATATTAATTTATTTAACAACTTATAATACATTCAATGTGATAAGAGCATTGCCTATATATTTTACAAACGAGTTATTATGTATCTATATGTACTGTACTTTTAAATTATAATTATGCAATATTTGAGAAATTATACTAATTATCGTGAACCTGTTCAAAACGGAATCTGAATAGAAACAAAGACCTGCCTTAACGCAAAAAATCTTCCAAAAATGGAACGATTTTGTTTTGGTTTATAAAACCTGTTCAAAACGGAAACCTGCCAAACCGGAAGAAATATGCAGTACCGTGCGATTCCGGTTCGTACAGGTTTACTGTAATAAATTTAAGCATTGGTTAAAAGCGTTCTAGTTTCAATTTCGATTTCATAATTAAAAATTCCACGTAGAGATAACACATTTTGAAATATAAAAAGATAACGAATTTAAATAGATTACGCAAGTATGAAATACCGTTTCGTTATTGAAATATTGATAAACACACAATCTGTTAAAAATTATTGAGAAATATGTAAATTATTTTCTAATTTCGCCATTTGTTAAGTTAGTTTAAATCATTGTTTCTCTTGAAATATTCATTAAGATATTGGAAATAAATACATTTTGTTTATGGCAACGCGACACATGGGCCATCTGCTGTAGGAGAATGATTACCGGGAGGACTTTTATGGGAAACTTGACCATATTCAGGTATTACACGTGAAAAAAAACCCGGAAAACTCTACGTAGTCGGCCCGTTGACGAGGCGCGAACCTACGACCTATGTTCAGTGGTTTTATCCACTCGACAACCGTTGGGCTGAAAAATGAATAAGAATTTCAAATATATGTATGTATACATATATTTATATTTCCACTTTGCAAAACTTTACAGTCTTTTAAGTAGTTTTAGAGATAGAGGAGAGGAGGGTATTATGGAATACTATTTACATTTCTAAAAATAACTTTACTGGTTTTTGAATAAAAATCCCAAAATTATAATGAGTACATACTATAACTAATTGTAATGAATTGTCACTTGTAAAAAAAAAGACTATTTATTTTGTTATTATAAAAAAATGTATTTAAAAAACTTACAAATGGAGGATAATATGGAATAGGAAGTTTAAACCATTGAAAAACTAATTAGACTTCATAAAACACAGTTATTCTTAACTATAAAAACCATATTTTTAAGATTATGTGTATGTCATTCCTGCTTCGAGTCAATTAACAAAAGTCACAGATATAATTTTCTTTCTCTGCTCCGGTACAATCAAGGTGAGCCCATAGAGAACAGCTGAAGCATTGAATTCAAATTTTCCCTCGTTCATCTTCGGAGAATTTTAGTTACAGAAGATACTTTAAGCGTCTTCGTTTTCTGGTTCTTTAGTTGATGGAATGAAGTCCATTTCAGATGATACATCAGAATGGAACATTTCATCGCTGCTAACACTGGAGTCATCTCTAGTAGGTTTAGGTCTAGAAGGTCGGTCTAAGTTTAATTTCTTAACTTTGAATGTTCGGTTTCTTTTGTTGTTTTGAAGCTTCTGGTTCCTTCTTTTTGTTCTTTTCTTTCAGTTTATCAATTTATCCTAGTATTCCATAATACCCGACACGCCATCTTGGAAAATGAACCTTTAAACTGATGAACAAAACATTGTCAGCTAAAAAACGACTGCAGTATAACAAACTATAATTCTCTTAGTGTACATTATGCGTAACATCAATGTTCAAGTCACATGTGTACTAGTATGTTAAAATGTTTGAAAACTTGCCTGAAAAAACTCTTGAAAATCACAAAACACACTGTTCTGTTGCGAGTGGTACGACGACAACAAGCGGTCAACTCTCACTGCACTGCATCTTGGGAGTCTTTCTTGAGTAGTTCATGGTATTCCCACGTAATAGCAGCAACAAACAGAGCCGGAACCTCGGTATTCCATATTACCCAACTATTCCATAATACCCTCCCCTCCTCTACATTTCAAAATGCGTCTTTAGCACGGAACTCTCTTGTATTTTTTTTATAACAGTTGTTACCATAATAACTACAGTATTAATACAAGTAATCACCCGATAAATCTATTATAGTACACAGCAATTTTTTAACATGAAATAGCGGTTTTAATTTCACGATAATAGTTGTACAATAAAAGTAATTGCAGTTAATCTGATAAATATTTATCTACATGTACAAAATATATCATAAATGAAGTTTTATATAGGAAATTTTCTTCACCAGATTCGTCGTCCATTAAGGTGTCTGAAACTTGATCACTCCGCGACTTGCTTGTATTTTACACAAGCATTAACCGAGAATGATATTTAGATCTGAATATAGAGAGTATGGTACCCGATACCAAAGCAGTCATCTAGAAATTCTTTCATTCAATGCCACTCTGTTATTATTGCTCGGGATAAGTGCAATAGCGGATCAGGAGATCATTAGAGATGCAGAAAAGAAACAATATACCTTATAAAATTTTTATTACCTAGTGCCCGGTTTTACTCAGGAAAAATCCGCATAATGTGGGTGCAGTTGGGCCCTATGCACCCCTAAATTTGCCACTGGATAAGTGCACTTAGTACTGGATATTGTATCTTTCTCTAAATCCACAACTTCTACATAAATTTTATTTCGTTACGTGGTTTCTTAGTATTACAATTTATATAAACAGCAATGTGTTGGGTCTATATGTGAAAAATTAACCGATTTCTTCAACATTTCAAAATCTAAAATCAGATTTACACAACTTAGACGCGAATTTTTTTTTTATACAATCAGGATAAGAAAACTTTTAATTGTATCGAATATCACTTTAAGAATATAAAATTCATTTATACAACATTAAATATGCATATACAACCATAAAGCTTTTCTTCAAAATACAGTAAGATCCCGCTTAACGCTGATTCGATATAACGCGGTGTGCTCGAAGCCTAAAAAAATTTACGCTGATTCAAATTATCGCGTCATTTTATTGATTCGTATATAATACGGTTATTTACGAACACCAACCAATCAGAAAAAGGTGGCAATTCTTAATTCTTAATTCGTCGTAGCGCTTTACTTTTCTTAAATCTATGTTTCTTTGGTGCAATTTTGGGGAAAAAAATATAACATCATGGATACCATAGGCAATATCGATTTCTCTTGGCAAGAATTAGCCGCTAAATGCACGAACGAAGCGTGGAAAAAGTTATGGCTGAAGGTATCCAAGAATTTACAACGAGAAGAGCCTATCATTGTATCGTTAGAGAAGAGCCTATCGTTGACCAAATTGTCAACCTAATCGATACAGCAGGACTAGGAGATGTAGACGAGCGGAATATTGAGGAGTTACAGCAGTGTTTTTCAACCAGGGTGCCGCGGCATCTTAGGGTGCCACGGCTCCACGATTGGGGTGTCACAAAGTTTAGAGCCTTTAGGCATTTTTTTGGAAATTTACTTAAGTGTAGTTCAAGATAACTCATTGTCAGTTCTATTTTGCTATGAGGTATCTAGTAAGCAAAGAAACTATGACTAATCGCATGTTAATGTAACGTTCTACGTTACGTGTACGCACGACTTGTCACGAGTTCGTCCAAAACCACATTGCTTGGCCTTCATGTTCCCAGTCCCGGTACCAGGCCAACCAACAGAGAAGAACGACGTGGACACTTTTGTCTTATATATGCTTTAAAAAGCGTTGCATTGTACTTTGAAAAGCGTGTGGTTTCAATCACAAAGTAGGTGCATATTACAGTATTTTCATAGTATTCAAAAGCAATGATGACAAATANGTATTCTGATTATTTAATTAATTTTTTTGTCACCAGATGACGCGAGTTGAAGATAAATTAAAAGAAAATATAAATTTAAAACAATTTTTGTTTACATTTTTAAAAAATATATGCTAATAAATAACCTTTTGATATTATATTTGCTATTAAAAATAATATTTAAGTATTTTTATGATATTTTATTATTCTGATAAAGGTTTATTCTTCAAATAATAATAATAATAATAATTTTAATATGAAATTTTAACAGTATCACAATATAAAGAATTTATTCATTTATTTATTTTATATACTCTAGAATCTACGTCATAGAAAACCTGTTTAGAACGGAACATGAATAAAACGGAAACCTGCTTAAACGGGAAAAATTCTTCGAAACGTAGCAATTTTCTCCCGTTAAAAAAACCTGTTAAAACGGAAACCTGTCAAA